ATATGGAGGATTGCAGATGTAGGGTATCTGCAAAGCAACACTGCCCATGCCCCAAAATCTGTGTAAGGAAAACATCCCACCCGTTCAGAACAAGAACTTCCTAACATAACTTAGCAAACAACACCCCTCATATTTCTCATCTTTTAAAAGACAGCAGCCATTCTGTTTGCCAGTTCAAGCATGCTGGCATAGAGTATGTGATAAAACAACTACTAGTACAATGTGAAACCGATTGGATTTTCATATTAAATGTCATGTCTTCCAATTTAGATGAGGAATTTGACTCCTTTCTTGTAACAACTTGTAAAACACTTTCCTTGACTAAATAAAAGGAAACATTGATGTGGGTAAGTGAATTGTCTTTTTGTGCTGAATCTTGAGGCCCCCATTCATTCTCACTTGCCACATCAACATCCATTTGGCAAGTACACCTAAATCATCTTCATCTTGGGTTTGATCAGTTTTGGATCCAAACTTCACTCACAGGACTCACAAAGCACACATGCCCACATACTGAGTACAAATGCCCCATGCTTTAAACATCACCAAAGATTTCAAGTAAAATGGAAAGAGGTTAGTACAGTAAATCTAATACTTGGGTCACATCATTCATCACTGCAATGGCTTATGTTTAGCTGATGTAAGCTGAATGGTAGCTAGAATATATCAGTGATGATTTATTCATAAAGAGCCTGACTGATCAAAGCAAGAAAAGCTGTTTCTGTGCAACAACAGTCTACAGTTATGCACGCAGCTGTGCAAGGCTGACAGCTGTGCTTTAAGCTAAATGCTTAAGTCAGCATGCTAACAACAATGATGCTAACATGCTGGCATACTTGACAGCATTACCCCAAACTGCCTGTCACCTGTACAGTCACACTATGGTGCATTCATATGCTGAAGCCAAGGACAAAGCTTCTTCATTCTCCTTCCATATAACATTCCATTCAGTAGCTGTGATGTTAGGAAGCTCAGCAGGGAATACACATACTGACCACACATAAATCATCATAGTTTGGACAGTTGGTTGCACTGAACAGTGTATGAAAGGTATATTGCTGATGTCAGAGTGAAGCAGATACCTTCACCATGTTAGAAATTAACCCAATTCTTTTGTTGGAAGCACAAGTGAAGACAGGAGAGGACTGCATAAAATCAACAGAAAGTTTACTGAAAGTCTGAGCACAGTGAAGTCATCACAGCGCTGGATTCAGAGAGACAGCTCCCGCAGGAGATCCAACTTCTCTGCACCCCGAATTAAGTTCTTACAATACATTTTATCTTCTTGGGCTGCTCCGCCCTGGACAAGGGTGCAACCTTCAATAGTTCATGATCCTATTGATCATTTGGTGTGAGCCGGAGCTCACACTTCCATGTTGAAATATGGTAAATCTAGGTATGTGTGTGTGTGTGTTAAACTGGCCAGGTGATCATCTCAGGTTGTAGCCCCCGGCCTCTGCAGGACATCCCAAGACAAAGCAAAATTTGGGATATGCTAAGTGGGTCGAGGTGTGAGTGTAAAACAGGCCTTTGCTAAAATGTAAATAGGCTGTCTGGTCACAAAGAGATGCAGACATCTAGTCTCTACACAGAAGTTACAGCATTTAAAGTAAGCAGATTCTACTTCATTACAATTGTAAGATATATAAGCAAGGGAAATAAATGTATTAAAATAACCAAAGCTCAGTAGTTCTGGACAATCATCAATACAGCTGTAATATGTATAGACAAGGAAAATAAGGTTATTGAAAAGTAACTCAAGGGAACTGCAGCTGTGAAAAGTAACTAAAGCTTATAAAGTAACTAGAGTCTATAAGACTCAAATCTTACAACCATATGATGGCACATAAATGCATCATTCATCAACGCCACACTCAAATGGACTTATTTTGGTTATTTGAAACCCAAATCCCCTTCTTTTGTTTTGTAGTGAGCGCTTTGCCTTGTCTTAATAAAAACACATCAGTGGGGACAAACTGCTGCACAGGGTGACCTATTTCTTTATTACAAAAAATAGGGGCATAGTAGTTTACCGATAAACAGCTCCACAGGGAGGGTAAACACAACAATTATTTACACTGTCTCTGGAAAGGCACCCATGTAAGACATAGTCCACCGTGCATGCTCTGGAACATAGTTTATATTGTAAACAATCAGTTTTTTCTTTGCATTTCCGATTAATAACACAAATAAGCAATTTAAGCTGATTAATTTTTTAGGTTAATACCAGACACTGAAATAAAACTGCAGTACTTTCATTCCTAATGAGCCTGAAAGTAAAATTACATGTAATACCCTACTACTACCCCAACATTTTATTGTATATACGTTTATTTGATTAGCTTTTTCAATAAAAAACAAGATATACCGTATAAGCTTGCCTTTCATCGTGTGTAACGTTATAAGTCAATATTCATTTCTTTGCTTTCTAAAAGTGTAAAGATATATAAAAAGAGGCGGATACTACTGTGAACGACAATTATTTTAACTGTCATTAAGGGCACTACCTGTGCACTGTAGTAAATACTTTCTTAAGTCAAATAGTGCACAAAGAATCGATTTTCGTTGAGAAATTTTACTGACTGGTGAAGATAGATGACGATCCTAATATCTGAAGTCTGATTCGTTGAGTCAGGCCAATAGAAACATGGCTCTTTGCATGTTGCCGCTAAGCATTATGGGGAAGCGACTAACTGCTCGCTTTTGAAAGAAAACACGTCGCAGTGTTCACAAATGCGTCAGCGTAGTTCACGCTATAATCATATATATAATCATTCTAAGCGAACTCTATATGTTATAGCGAACATTCCACGGTTCGACACCATAACGTTAAACGGTTGTCTTCTCCGATGCCATATATACAATCCCGTGACCTGGGTTGCAATTGGATGTGAGGGCGATCTGGCTGCGACATCTGTCACCCCATTGATCGCTAGGGTTGATTCGGCTGATCTGGTTGGCTAGGCGGGTGTCCCCTTCCTCCCCTCACGGCTCCATGTGTGTCCCTCCCGAAGCTCTGCGCTCGGTGGAAGAGGACGTGGTCCCCCCGGCGGACGAACATCCATCGGTATACCAGTAGCTGCGCTCCCCTGCTAGAACCTCCAAACAAGCTCAAGGCCCAATTGTAGGAGAAACGTAGGGAAGTCAAGCTCCAAGCTTCAGACACATCCAAGTGCGGCGCTGCACGTGGCAGTCTGCCCTCCTTTTACAGTTGTAATAACACTTTAAAGTTATAACACACCGTTTTTTAAAAATATTGAAGTATGCAAATATTTTTCAAAAATATAATATACAATTAAAACTTGGCTCCACATTTAAGTGTGTTAAAAGTTATAACACACCATTTTTTTTAAATATTGAAGTATGCAAATATATTTTTCAAAAATATAATATACAATTAAAACTTGGCTCCGCGTTTCACTGTGAGGTAACATGAGAACAATATAATTCATTTGAATTTTACTCCTTATGATGACACTTGGTGATGGTACATCGTGATCAACGTCAGTGATTTTAATTCCAAGTTTATTTGCTGGAAATAGGCAAAATATTCATTCCGGTTAAGGTGTTTAAAGTGCCGTAATAACATTTCCAACAGCACCCGAAGGCAGCATAGTACAACAAATAAAACCGAGAGAAACCTGTAGGAGGTGGGGTGAGGAGGTTGGGTTGTGGAATGATTAGATCAGAAGGAGACATTGTTCGGCAGAGGTATTGTTTATTCTTTGTAAACCAGCTATTTATTTGATTACTTACATATTGGTCATTCCATTTCAGCGTAGTGCAATGTGAGTTACGTCGTTTGCTTTGCACCAACAGCCTCGCAAGCTAATATTAGCATTAAGCTATAAGAAACTGACGGAGTGGCTGACTTCCGAACCCACCCGACAACGAGATCTAGCTAGCTAGGTTAACTTTAGCAAGCAAATAGTGTGTCTGCCTTTGCTATTGGTATATTAAATAATTTCAGACGGGCGTGACGGCTACACAGAGAGATATAGCTGCGGTGCAAATATGTTGCTTCATGTGCTACACGCTAGTTGTGACCTTACAAGTCATTCTGCAAGCTAGCTAATCATAGCGTTAGCTGTTTAACGCCAACGTTCTGGATACCTGTGAAGTGCACTTTATAACGGAGGCAGGTAACTTTAACGCTCCTAACGTTATTCGGTGGTATTATTAGGACTATATAGGCTGCTATATATATATACTCCCCGTTAAAGCAGTCATTTTGGAGTTAAACGTTAATTATAAGCTTGCCGTAGAAGCTTTTAAATGTTAAACTATGTTGGGTGTCATTTGGTCGCTTTCACGTAACGTTAACGTTTTTGACGTGGGTGCACTGGTGTTAAAATCAGCATACAATCAATTTATTGGGTGACTGAAGATAGCTGAGAGAGTCTTCTAAATATATCTATCTGCGTTGTATTTATACTTTACTATTGTTGGTTTAAATCGGACAGAAACAGCAACAAATGCTTCTTCCAGCCCAGAAGAAGGGAAACAATTTCAGGGCATATACTAAACCTATTTGTTTCCCTTTTCTTTGGCTAACGAAAGCTCTTTAAAGAGTAATGTTGCATCTTCTTCACTAACCACCTGTTTTCACTAAAATGGTTGCCTGTAGTATAATTTGTGAGTTGACTCTAATAGAAACATATCTCATGCATTACAGTTCAGAAGCACCAAAACTAACTTGCAGACCTTAGGCTTAACATTGCCCAGAGTACATAATGTTGTATGAATATTTCAGTATGTTTATATCTCGTCCTCTGCCTGTAGGAGTGTGCTAGAGAGGATGACGATGCCGCATGTAGGGGCAGTGTTTGCAGCAATAGCAGGAGTGATGGCCATCATGCTGCATTCCTCCATTCACAAAATAGAGGAAGGACACCTTGCTGTGTACTACAGGTATCACAACCCTGACGCTCTGTACCTGACAGAAATAACACATGTATACTAAGGATCTGGATGGTGTATTGTTCTTTGTATTAGGTCTATTTTCTGATAATGATGCATGTACATGTAGTCAGCATAAAGCAATGATATCTGCAGTACTGGAGTGTGTATGCTTCAAACTTGTTTGAACAAAAAGAGGCCAGTATTCCATTGTTGTCAGCTCAATAATTAATGTTCTAGGTTTAAGCACTGTCCTACAAGTGTCTATGATTACAAATAAATCACATGTTAAACTTAACTGTTGACATTGTTCATGAGATGGACAAAAACAGGAACACCTTGTATTATAATATAGTGTCATTCAGCAGAAACATAAGTACACCCTAACTAACTACTGTTTCCACCCAAATAAACACCTTTCAGGCCTTTTTTTAATCCTCTTTGTGTATAATTGGCAGATAATCTGAGGTTAAGAAATCAGACCAAATACTTTGTGTTTCAGGGGTGGAGCATTGCTGACCACTCCCAACGGTCCTGGATATCACATTATGCTGCCTTTCATTACCACCTACAGATCAGTGCAGGTAAATTTGCCTTTCAGTTCAGAAATGTTGCCTCTTAGCAGAAGCATGTGGAATATAAGAGTCAATTATATAAAATTACAAAAGGTGATCTTGGTTGAATCACAGTGGATTTTACATGAAGCGAGGCTCAGGTTATCTGAAATCACCTTTTGTTTGCATGAAATTGCAAACAAAAGGTGGTGAATTCTCTTAACTCAGATTCTAATAACTGACTTTTACTGATCTTTTGTCTGCATCCCACAGTTAGGATTGAAGTTTGAAGTTAAGATAATTTTACCACTACATCTAAGGTTGACTGAACTTTCATGATCAGCAGTGATGACGTTTAAATATGTGAGGTATTATTGTATAGACAAAGGTTAACTTAAACATTCACCATTCAACATTAATTGCAAGCTTTTATGAAGTAGGAACATACACTTAAATCCAGATACATGTTCACGAAAGAATCTGTAGTGGGAGAATAATGTTGAATGTTTGTGTTTCAGACGACACTTCAAACTGATGAGATCAAGAATGTGCCTTGTGGAACAAGGTGTGACTGAACTTATTGATGTATGGCAGTAAAGCAGTCGATCCATTCTTGAAAATAGTTATGAATTAAACAGGTATTTATTTTCTTCACAGTGGCGGTGTGATGATCTATTTTGACAGGATAGAAGTTGTTAACATGCTGGTCCCCTCAGCAGGTGTGAAGCATTCTGATTTCTTTCATTGCTGCACTTCCTTGTTCAGCTGACCCTGCCAGCTGCCTGGCATTGCCGTAACTGTCACTTTTGTTCATCTGTTTTCAGTCGTGGACATTGTGAGGAACTACACTGCTGATTATGACAAAACTCTCATTTTCAACAAGATTCACCATGAACTCAACCAGTTCTGCAGTGTCCACACACTACAGGAGGTCTACATTGAGTTGTTTGGTGAATACACATTTCATTTAACATTTCAAAGAGAGCATTATGTGCTGCTTGTTCAGTTGTTAAAAAAAAAGTATATATATATATATTTTTTTTTTGTCCTGCAGATATTATAGATGAGAACCTTAAGACTGCGTTGCAGAAAGATCTTAATGTTATGGCACCTGGACTTACAATACAGGTACTTAAAAACACACAAAAGTTAAGCAGCTGGGGCATAGTAAGTAGAATTCTATAGAATTTTGGATTATTGTGGAAAATAAGCTCTGTCAAAAAACAAGAGTTTGACACTTAGACATTTTGTTCAGCAAGATAATCTGCACAGGTGAAGTGAACCCCACTTTTAGGATTTTTGAAGCCCAAATACAGAAGTAAAAGGCTATTGTTAGGCTGCCATGACTTAAAAGTCACCACCACAGTTTCCAGCATGTAATTTGATTTCTAGTGCTTACTTCTTCTGCAAAATCATTTCACCGTGACATTCAATCACCAGTTGTAGGTGACAAGTGTGAATTATGCTAAAATGACCAGAACAACTAATGAATCTTTCACTCAAACTCTGAACCAGTAGACTAGTTCAAACTCAAAACCCTCATAGCCTGATAACCAGTCATCTGCTTAATGTGAAAAGTTTTGGCAAACTGAACAAAGGGTAAATTTATTTTGCTCTCTTTTTCCTCTGCACTCTTTCACCGTCATGATAAAGGCAGTTCGTGTTACCAAGCCAAAGATCCCCGAGGCTATCAGGAGGAACTTTGAACTCATGTGAGTTTATGAATACATTTCATAATCTTTGTGACCCACTCATCGAAGCAACACCACACAGAAAGGAAGAACTTGTTTTTGAGTGTGTGTGTGTGTGTGTGTGCGGGCGCAGGGAAGCAGAAAAGACTCGTCTGCTAATAACAGCTCAGACTCAGAAGGTGGTGGAAAAGGAAGCAGAGACTGAAAGAAAGAAGGCTATTATTGGTAAGTGTGGACTTTTACCATAATTCAGCTGCTATGTTTTCATTTGCATGACCCTCATTACAATTTTAACAGCTTCTCTTTTTCAGTCACTCCTGTACAGAAGGAGGATTAGGGCCACTGTAAAACTTCTATTTAAGTTCAGACTTTTTGCTCAGAATTCCCTTTAATCTCAGAATTCTGAGGAAAAAAGTCAATTTGCATATTTTTTTTTACAGCAGCTCTAATCCTCTTCTGCACTCCTGTGCTGCTCCTCTGTCCACCTCCACATTCTGTACAGTTCTTAAAGCTAACATGGATCTCTGTCCCACAGAGGCTCAGAAAGTGGCTCAGGTAGCAGAGATCCACTTCCAGCAGAAGGTGATGGAGAAAGAGACAGAGAAGAGGATCTCTGAGATTGAAGGTTAGCCTCACTGCTCTTGGTTCTCTTCTGTGAGATGGCTTTGTGTTTTGATGAGCTGCTTTGTCATGAGTGTGCCTCATTCAACACTGTCTCTTTGTTTCAGATGCTGCCTTCTTGGCCAGGGAGAAGGCTAAGGCTGATGCAGAGTATTACACTGCTGCCAAATATGCTGAAGCAAACATGGTAAAAAAAAAATAAATTGATGCTGACACATTTTCACACATGAACATGTAATCATATAACCTTTAATCATTCTTTTTCCTAAATCTTCACAGTTGAAGTTAACCCCAGAGTACCTGGAGCTGATGAAGTACCAGGCTATAGCAGCCAACAGTAAGATCTACTTTGGGCAGGACATCCCTAACATGTTTGTAGAGGGTACCAACAGTCCACCTAAGCCTGCGCGCTCCCCTAATCTGCCCACTGCTGACCCAGACATATTTAAAGTGAAGGTAGACGGGCAGTGAGTCCACAGTTCTGCCTCGACACAGGACAGGATACCCTGATGAGGACTTGTCTTGTCGGTAGGGTGGAGAGCACTGAACTGAAGATGATGGGTGTGGTAGCTTTGAAGCTAGTTTGGTGAACACACTTCAGTCTTAAATCTAAATGGCATAAACAAAGAGGGAAAATATAAGGCGAAAAACAAGCAAAACTTAATGAAATGATGAAAGGTAAAGTTTTTGTTTTTTTTAATCCTCCACTCTTTGGGAAAAGACAAGTTTTACGAATGCAAATGAATGAATGTCAATTGAAAATCAAAAGCATAATAAATGCTTATGGTTGAAAGGTGACAGCAAGTAGTCGCCCTGACTTACACATGCTTGCAATCAATGCAGTGTTTAACTTTGCTTTAGGGTCTGCATTCATTTTGTTTGCTGTATGCAAGGGGAGTGTTCTGTGATGCATATGATGTTTGAGAATTCAATTCTGGGTTTAACTGAACTGGAATCAGACGGGTGACACTAATTAAAAGTAGGATGATTTGTTTAAGTGCGTCATGTGGGTAGGTAATCTCTGTGCCATTTTATTTTACACTGAATAACTAGTTGGCTCTTCTCTCTGAAAGCGAGTCGGTGTGAGGGCTGTTTAATCACACCTCATATAAAATGCTGCATGCAGAGGAGCTTAAAATCACTGATGGGTTATTACAGCAGTGTGTGCATTATAAATGTGCAGCAGTCATTCACTACTGGGAGCCCACATATAGATATTTTCATTTGACTGGAATTCTACAGATACAAAATTGAGTTGTGGGGAAAAAAACTGAAATGATGGTTTTCTAGAAACAATTGGCCTGACAGTTAAATTTTCACATAAGCCTGCTTAAAGTGAACTACTGCTCTACAGATATTCAAGTTTTTGAAGATGGAGCATTGTCATTGTATGTGCATAGATAAATTCAGTATTGATAGCAGTATACAGTTCTTTTCTTTTAGCTTGGTTATAGTTTGCTGTTGCTCATTGTGGCTAAGAGTTGCAACCACGACAGAAAGACTTGAGATGCTGCTGTGTCATTCTCTGAGAGGCCAACTGAGAAGAAAAAGACCTAATGCAGCTGCAAGAAAATCTGATTATCTTCTGAAGACTTGTTCAAAATCATTAAGTTAACATTTAAAAGAGTTGAGCACTAGTGGATTGTTTCACTGAAGGAAGGTGTGATTTGCACGTCTTGTCAAGAAGTCTCCATCTGGTTTTTATTATCTAGACCTGACATGGAAATATGTCATGGTTTGATTCAGATGATTAGTAGTGCCTGTCCTTGTCAGCTAACGTCGTTGCACAGGAACGTGACTTATTTTAACAGCTACCCAGTGTTAAACAAAGCTTATACTCTCCAAATGTTAAAAAGTTCAAATGTGCTGAATCTGGTGACAACAGTAACTTTGCGAAACAAGAAAATAACTATTTAAAGTGATTTCATGTCTAATTGAAGTGCATTGACTAACCCCCCCCAAACTAGAATCTAAATCTGTGTCTCCTGTTTATTTATGGTAATATTTTTATTGCACCATATTTAGAGTATTTGTCTGTGGCATATTCTGGGCACATTAGTCTGTCAAAGTACAAATAATACAAACAAAAGCTCCTTTCCACTGTCAGTGTTTATATTTTTCTCTAATTCATGAATTAATGGCCTGCAAAGTTTTCTAATCTTTACTAAACAAGATCATTATTGTGACACAGTAAACACACACAACTCCTAGTTACAATAGTAGCTTAAAGTGAATGAGTGTTTTTTTGTGACAACTTAAGTTCCAGTACTACACAATAACAAGCTTTGTTCTGTTTAACGCTAAATGTTGTTTGGACTTAAACAGGATGCAAGTTGGTGCTAGTTTTTATCGTGCTTTAAGCTTTTGGACTTTGTTCAGCTGTGTGTTTGAGAAACCTGAAAATACTTCCATTATTCAGAATACAAGCCTTAAATAATAATAATAATAATAATAATGGGTTAACCCCAGACTGAGCTTCTTACAAGCTGAAAGGCTCCACTTGAACTGGGCCGTGAGATTCCTTAAGCACTTGGATGTACAGACTCCTCATAGACTGAGAAAAGCACAACTAGCAGTGGACACTAATGGTGTTTGGAAGATGTATTGATGTTTACTTGATCTCCGGATGGCAAGTAAAGGTTTCACTCTTATTTGCTTTGGTGGTGGGTTCAAATAAAGATGCAAAAGGTTTTATGAATCACTCATGAAAAAGATTTTTTTTTTTTTAAATATTTTGTACAATCTGTGAAATTAAAACATTGCCTCCTTGTTTTAAAAAAGTTTATATGCAAAAATGTTTTAAAGTTTTGACAATGTTCTTATGTAAAATAAAACCTATTTTGATACCTCTCTTGTCTCGTGTGGACGTCATGTAATGTGCTCAGACTGCCATCGTTAGGCGCACTAACACCGTGTTAAATGATCTGCTCTAAATACTCTGTTCCAAACAGGCTCGCCCAGTGACAGTATAGAGACAAAGAACAAGTTACTGGCTCAAATAACGGCCAGTAAGATTTTGAAAATGTTAAAACACAGAGATTACACAAAAATGTTTTTGGTGCGGGAGGACACAATTAAACCACACTTGCCCACAAAATGAAGTTACAAGTTTGGACTTGGGGCCCTGCTTTTTGAAGGGAAAACGCCTTACTGATTGTTATTTGTCTATTTAGACATTTTATAGAATCTGTACCCTAAAACCTTTCTCACAGTTTTATAAATGATATATCAGATATTTAGATTCATTCTGATGCAATGTGCATGTGTAGGCTAATTATTTTTGTGGATGACTGGGTGGTTGAGGTAACATGAGGGTGACTCAGTGAGCACTCATTGGTTTTACATCATCTATAGAGAGGGAGATATAGATATATACAGTCTACACAGTTCCTGTTGTTCTAACCTATATAATGTATTGTAAACATTGCAAAACAGATTGTAAAATGTGAGGAGACTGTAAAACTCAAGTGTCTTTACAAAGGCTCTCTGGTAGTGCGTTTGAGCGTGTGTGACTGCTGCCTGAATGACCAGATGAGGGATAGCTTCCTCTTATGACCTCTTAGTCATCATAGAACTCACTCTGGTCTCCTTTCACAACTAAGCCATCAGTCTTTGCTTTCTGTGGGAGGGTGTTTCGCTTTGGTCTGAGCCCAGATCGGATTTTCACTCATCCTCATCTTGTTTACTTAACTGTAGAGGGTTTACTGTGGATCTCTGCTGTGCTCATTTTGAATGCTTGGTCTGATTTGGTGTTGGGGTACAAAGTCAGTGAGTTTAGAGCCCCCTCTTAGGAAGTGGGGTCAAGGTCAGATGTGATGTGCCCTGAATGAGCCAGCGCTTCTCTTTCCTTCCTTTGGCCCCTGAGCTCAGATCCTGCCTGTTCCTTCTAGCCTTGACTCCACCCAGCATCTGTTTCTACCCAGAGATATAAGGGTGTTGTCCCTCATCACTCAGTGTATGACTCTAAATCCAGTCTCCAAACAGCAGTGTGATTCTGAATGATTCATCAACGGCTGTGAGCGCCTGCATCAATAGCTACTCTGTTCTCTTTTTCTTTCACATTCCTATCCTCTATGTGTGTCTATTGTATTGTATGTGTGTGTGTATTGGTGCAACACACACACACACACACACAAAGAGCAATACCTTTGTCATTTCTCAGCACATTTCTGTTTAATCTCTACATTTCTGTGATGATCCTTAGAATAAACATCGAGTCAGCTGCACGATTTAGGTTCTGAACCTAATTCTGCATTACATACGTGTCATACATACAGGTTTTGATTGATTTCTTTGTGCTTTAGTCTTGTTTATTTTCATGTTATAAAGTCAGTCAGCCTTTAGTGTCAGCTCAATCAATTTTACAAATAAATCAGTTTGAATGGAAATCACCCAGTTTTCATCCAGGAATGTAACCTTGATGATGTTCTGCAACTTTTGCATGTATATGTGTTTGACCTTATTTGTAATTATCTACAGAAGTATGTAACAAAAATCTGAATGCTCTAAGCTTGACAATGGTGATTGATAAGGTGAAATGAAGGTTATCAGCGCAACAGGACTCAATAGCATCAGCAGGCAGCTGGAGAAGACTGGCTGCTCCTGAGACGTCTCAGCAGGTCGCCTGTCTCCTGTTCTTCTACACCAATATAGGGGGTAGGATCAAAGACTACACAGGGGCAGACAAACACTGACAGACACATGGCAGCAGGTCTTATCTGATGTAATATGGTAGCGAGGAGCAAACCGCCTAACCTCACCTCATGGGCAGGGCCTGACACTTCAGAAAATGAAGGCAGGCTGTGATCTGTGTCAGCAATACTTTACTAAATGTGCTCATTTGTCACCTTCGTGATACATTAATTCAAGCTGGAAACTGTGGAAAATTCTGTTAAAATTAACTAAGCGCTCTATCACAAGAATTTCATAGAAAATGAAATGATGTCATTTGGGACTTGGAAGGCAATGACAGTCACAGTGTAAAAACAGCACAGCATGTTATTTTGTTTGCAGCAGTTGGTTAATGTCTAAGCTTCAAACCTGTCCTCTGCTTATTTGTTCCATTCTGCTCATATTAAAACAGACCATTTGAATTTATGGAAAGACTGGCAGTCAGAAACGTTATAGGCACATGTTTATAGGCACAAAAATCATATACACTATGAAAAACACTTTCTACACAGTCCTCACAAAAAAGCTACTGTTTATAAGAATTTTCATAAACAGGCAAGTAAATAATTTAGAGTAAGAACTTATTCAATGTCAAATTTGTTACACGAGGACAATGTAATATCTGTAAATATGCAAAAATATTTCTATTATAGAGAAGACAGTTGGTGCACCGCCCTTGTTAAATCACATTATTGAAAACATTTCAATGTCAAATTAGATAAATCATGCCCTCTTGAAACATGCATACAATGGAATCAGTAAACGTCCATATCTCTAATGATTTTTCTTTACAGAGACATAAAACACATCAGTATTAAAACAGTATGTCTGTTATCCCACAGATACACTCCAATATGTTTGGTGCATTTTAGCTGTTGAGACAATGATCAGAACTTTATAAAAACTGATCCTGTGCTGTGACAAATTATTTTTAATAAAGTAAGACTTCACTGTTGATATTACAGGGGTTACATCTCAGAGCTACTACAATAAATCTTCTGTGCGTCAGTGTGTCTTTCATATTGTCGGTGTACATGTTTATATCAGCGTGTATTGTTTTTTGCTTTGTACATCTCCAGATGCCGTGTCAGGTCTTCAATACGCATGTCCTTCAAGTGAAGAAGATGTTCTAATTTGTTCACTTTCAACTTCAGGATCTAGACACACACACAAGGGGATGTACAAGGGTGTGTTAAAACTTCAGGCTTCTTTCTAAATTTCTTTTGTCACTGATGAAGACTTCCTAAATGCTGAGAACTCATAAACTTGTGTCACTATTATGCTTCTTTCTTAATATGCAGATGTGAACACTGACAGGAAAGAAAAAAACAGTCATATCCACTGTGCAGATACTGACTCACTGGCCACTGCTGACAGAGTTTATGACACACACATCTGCAGCATTGCAGGTTGTGTATCTGTATGATAAAGCTCTTCTACAGGACATCAAAAAGGAAGATTTGCAGATGTCAGCATTGTGTGTTTCCTGGATTCAAGTGGGGGTGTCTTTGTGTGTGTGTGTGTGTGTGTGTGTACCTCCACAGTCTCCTGCAAAGCCAGGATATCTTGCTCTTTTTCCTGTAGGATTTGTTGAGAAGTAGGATCCATGTCTGTGTAAAACTGCACTTTGTGCTGCTGCTGGCTTCACAATTAAAAACACAAATGACACATTATTATTATAAACAGTGGTGTAGATTTGTTTCATTCAAATTAAAAGAAAAGTTTTGGTCTTACCTGTTTTTCGGTCTGCTCTTTCCATCTTTTTTCATGTCTCCTCCTGCCAGATGAGCCAGATGTTTTGCTTCAATCTGATGAATTTCTGAAGACAACAAACAAAAGTATAACATTTCACCAACTATAATGTGAATATAATATGATGCTGTTGTGGGAAACCTGCAAAGATGCATGCCCCCAAATTAAATTAATCAATAAATATACAAACAAACAAAATAAAATAAATAAATAAATAAGGACATGACTAGGGTGAAGGTAGAAGGACAGGAGGCAGACTAGCAATAGCTATAAGCGAAAGAAGGAGAAACAAGAGTAAGGTGGAGGATGGGAAGTCAATGGGCTTTTAAATCCAGCAGGGCTGAACTGAGGCCAGTGATAAAGGCCATCTGGTGATGTTAGGAGCTGATATGAGTATCTGAACTTTGTGTCTGATAGTGAATGGAGTGTAGCTGGATGTGGAAAGAACAGAGGGAGGACGCACTGGCCTGAGGTTAGCTTTACAGGACTGTTTCAGGGATGGATGAGGTGTGGGAAACGGAAGAGAGACATGTCACTGATTCACTCCCTAAAGGTTGTGGCATTTTCTAATCAGTCCTGGCTGACGCTTTGAAATGAATATGTCCGTGTGTGGTCACTGCTATCTCTGGGAAAGATTAATTGAGAGTTGTTAGCATGGCGCAAATGCTGACAATATCAGGACAGACAAGAGACGGTAGGGAGTAGATAGGATTTTGGAAAAACAAGAGAAGGTAGGGAGTAGATAGGATTTTGGAAAAATACCATGTCAGGGGTACAATCAGCCTCCACAGCAGTCACCAAACAATCCTCTCAGACGCAAAAAAACACCACAATTTGTCTTGAAAATGCAGATTTTGTGTTTGTCAGCTGATTAGACGGCACAAGCATCTAAAATTATACCCACTTCCTTCCCTGTGCTAAAAACAAACTGCAAAAATTTGGCAGTGTTAGCTAATACACTCCACAATGATACTAAAATAAGTCATCATATTCTTGTTAACTCAGCAGTGTCAGCTTCTGAAATCCATTTGATGTCGCTGACCTAATCACACTTTTATAACTTCTAATTAAACTATCCTGGGATGTAAAGTAAGGCCAAATATGCTAGCAGACATGTCAGTCAGAGGTTATTGGTTTTAAGATTATTACTGTGTGGACTGTGCATGTTGGTTAAATAACCGTATGTTGGTGTTTGTGTAAATGTAACAAAAGAATAGCTACGCTACCTGCATGAGTTTTCTCCTCATTCCTGGTGATATAGTATCCCCCATCCTGGGTTGAAAAGAACTTTTTGTTCAATTTTGTAATTACCATTCAAACACACACAAAGTAGCTTAGGTATGCCTGAAAGCACACATGTGTAAACATATAGTGCAAACCAGATTGTTGTTTGTGAAGGGCTCCAGTTTCTTGTCTATCTGTTCCCTGAGGGTGCTCAGTACAGGCTCTATCACTCCTGCAGTGTTCAGTACAATCCTCCTCACTGTCTCCACTGGCACGTGAAAGTTCAGTTTGGAAAACACCTTCCTGACCACAGAGGGGAAAAAAACACACGTTTCTTATTTAGAAAACTAATTTCAATAGGAACTACAGAGTAGCAGGTGATGCATGATGATGATAAACACCATAGTATCCATAAATCTGTGGATGGCTGTGTGCCTTATCAGCGGCCAGGGAGTGTGTGCTGGATGCAGAGGCCCTTGGTCATGCTCAATTAAAGTTTTTCCTGTGTTTGTTCAGTGAAAAGCCAACGCTTGTGTAATGTCTGTCATTTCTATTATGAGATAGATATCATTTAGGGTTGTAATGTTTTGTTGAATGTGTGTTTGTGTAAGAATGTTCTGGGGAGAAGTGGACATATTGACAAAGTTGTGAAAATTTGAATTTCTCCAGCTGTGTAACACACATGTTCTGGTAGTGGCTGTGTCCTTGATGCAATCAATTGCTATTCCTACTCAAAGCCTACAGCCAGTAATCACCAGTCAATGAGTGCAGCCACCTGCACTAGCTCCATACATATCCTCTGAATAAACAAACTACAAAACTAGCTGGCTCCTTACCTGTTGAGGAGGCTCCAGTTATTGAGCTTCTGTGGTGTGGAGTTAGCAGGAATATAGTTATGCAGGTCAACAAGCTTTGGGAGGAAATGTTTTACAACCTCAGCAGTCATCACTAGAGAAAGTTCAGCATAGGGGCACAGTCAGTTCACAAGTGGCCTAGATAAATAAACAGACATTTCAGCTGATGCACTATGTAAATAACCAAATTACACGATTGTAGCTGGCAATCGTTATTTGACAAATCAATAAGAGATCTTGTTACTCCTGCTACTTGTTAAGTTAGTTACCATCTCTCTTAAGACTGCTTGCAAAGCCAAAGTTAACTACCTCCGTCGCTGAAGTCTCTTGTGATGTGTCTCTTGGGTCGCGACAGCGGTATTTTGTCTAGCCATGCGTACAAATCCTGCAGTTCGTCTTCGCTCAGTTCTCGATCCATCATTCTTAAAGCGACATCTCTTTCTGGATAGTTTGTAAAGGTCGGGACCTGCTTTAGCTACTTGGCTAATCTGTTAGCTCACCTCACCTTGTTTAAGGCGTTGCTACGCGACCGCTAATTACTATGGCAACACAGATAATGGCGCCTGGACGTAAAGTAGAGCGTGGGTCGGCCTACATTTTTCCGTTCCTGTCAAAAGTATTTTACCACAGACAATAAAAAGAGATAAAGCAGAGAATCCTTTGACCTAAAAGCTATATGTAAAAGCAGCCAAGGTCTGAGAGCTACAGAGTCACTATAGTATGAACACAAAGAGGACTGAGGCCCCATCAGAGCTGAAGTGGACCAGAAAGAGAACTGAATCCTTTTTTAAAGGTACTCACAGTGTGAACACAATAAGAACTGAGTTCCTTTTTAGTTAGTGCCCTTTTTGGTCCACTTTAAAAAGGACTGAATTTAGTTAATTTAAAAGGGACCAACTGTGAAAACACCCTAAATTTTTGTCCAACCAGGCCCACACTGTTGGGTACCCGACATGTCCCATTGGGCTCGGTTTGGGTATCCACACTCTAACATAAAGACAGAGAAAAAAATGACTGTGGTGATGCACTTTCATTGTAAGTTCCCTTTTACAGACACAATAAATAAAAATGGGCCAAATACAGTGGGTACGGAAAGTATTCAGACCCCCTTAATTTTTTCACTCTTTGTTATATTGCAGCCATATGCTAAAATCATTTAATTTCATTTTTTTCCTCATTAATGTACACACAGCACCCCATATTGACAGAAAAACACAGAATGTTTGACATTTTTGCAGATTTATTAAAAAAGAAAAACTGAAATATCACATGGTCATAAGTATTCAGACCCTTTGCTGTGACACTCATATATTTAACTTAGGTGCTGTCCATTTCTTCTGATCATCCCTGAGATGGTTCTACACCTTCATTTGAGTCCAGCTGTGTTTGATTATACTGACTGGACGTGATTAGGAAAGCCACACACCTGTCTATATAAGACCCTACAGCTCACAGTGCATGTCAGAGCAAATGAGAATCATGAGGTCAAAGGAACTGCCTGAAGAGCTCAGAGACAGAATTGTGGCAAGGCACAGATCTGGCCAAGGTTACCAAAAAATGTCTGCTGCACTTAAGGTTCCTAAGAGCACAGTGGCCTCCATAATCCTTGATTTGATTTGATTTATTCTTTCAAGCATTTAAAACAGTTGATATAACAACACATTTTCAAGCATTTAAAACAAACAAAAAAAATCCTTAAATGGAAGACGTTTGGGACGACCAGAACCCTTCCTAGAGCTGGCCGTCCAGCCAAACTGAGCTATCGGGGGAGAAGAGCCTTGGTGAGAGAGGTACAGAAGAACCCAA